GGACCTGGGGGGTCAGCGGGGGACCTGGAGGGTCAGCGGGGGACCTGGGGGATCAGCGGGGGACCTGAGGGGGTCAGCGGGGGACCTGGGGGGTCAGTGGGTGATCTGGAGGGTCAGCGGGGGACCTGGGGGGTCAGCGGGGGACCTGAGGGGGTCAGCGGGGGACCTGGGGGGTCAGTGGGTGATCTGGAGGGTCAGCGGGGGACCTGGGGGGTCAGTGGGAGGATCTGGGGAGTCAGCGGGGGACCAGGAGGGTCAGCGCGGCACCTGTGGGGGTGTCAGCGGGATGGGGGGCAGGATCACCAGGCGTCCTCTTGGGAAGCAGAGTGTGGGAGTGAGCAGCCCTCAGCAGGAAGGGAACCTGACCTGTCCCAGAAGACAGATGTGAGGTGTGAGAGGCAGGGAGGGAGAGGGAGGGAGAGGGAGAGACGGAGTGGCCCCTCAGAGGACAGGGCTCCCGTGTCTTTCCCCCACTCCCGGATGGAGAGCGTTTGGAGGTGGCTGCTCGCTGGGCCTCAGGATGGAAGTGGGGTGAGGGGACACTGCCCAGGGAGGGAGGACGGGGCTGACAGTCCAGGTCCAGGGAGCACCCCGCCGAGGTCCCCCGCTGGCGGGCGACGGCAGGTGCCAGCCTGGAGATGCTCTGGGACAGTCCCAGAGCGTCTGGGACTGCGTGGGTCCACTGTGCGGGGCCACCATATCCTGTCTCGTTTTCAGGCAAGGAGGGAGTCTGGGGACTCCTGGAGAAGGAGCTAGGAAGGCGCAGCCCGGCTGGTACTTACTCCTGACCCAGCCTGTGGCTTTGGAGCCTGGATTTGGTCATCAAGAAAGTGGGCCACAGACACCCCCGGTCCCCCCCAGCTCAGCATGAGCAGAGCTCACCTGCGCTGCCACAGACTGGGTGTGTCTGGCTGGCTCAGGGTCCCCCAGGGATCCCCCTGTCAGCTCAGCACCTCTGCCCTATGCCCGGCAGGTCCTGGGGCCATGGGGGCTGGGCAAGGGCCAAGCCCAGGTCCCTCCAGACTGCAGCCCAAGAGGGATGGTCCAACCCCCTCAGGTAATGGCCACACAAGACCATCTCCCCTGGGCCTGTACCTGCCATCCAGCAGCTTTTGGTTTTGTTGTGTTTGGTTGTGGGGCTTGAACTCTGGGCCTGGGCTCTGGCCTTGAGCTCTTCAGCTGAAGGCTAGCACTCTACCACTTGAGCCACAGTGCCACTTCTGGTTTTCTGGGTGGTTTATTGGAAGTAAGAGTCTCACGGACTTTCCTGCCTGGGCTGGCTTTGAACCATGATCCTCAGATCTCAGCCTCCTGAGTAGCTGGGATGACAGATGTGAGCCACCAGTGCCCCGCTCCATTTTTTTTGGGGGGGTCTAGTTGTGGGGCCTGAACTCTGGGCCTGGGAGCTGTCCCTCAGCTTTTCAGCTCAAGGCTAGTGCTCCACCGCTCTACCACTTGAGCCACAGCGCCACTTCTGCCTTTTTTTCTTTTTGCTTATGTGGTGCTGGGGAATCGAACCCAGGGCTTCAGGCATGCAAGGCAAGTGCTCTACCACTGAGCCACCTTCCCAGCCCCTGTTTTATTTCTGGGATGTTCTCTCTCTTCCCCACCCCTCTCCCATCTGTGTCCCAGTGCTGGCTCATGGACCACATCTTTGAGGCTCTCTAGCTGCCAGCTTCTGGGCAGGTTGGAGCAGTGGGGAGCACACCTCTTGGCTTCCTCCTGCAGGCCCCACCGCCGGGCAGGGTCCCGGACCCCAGCTCCTGCCGCCTGGGCGCTCAGCTCCGCTTCCACAGCACTGGGCAGAGTGCGTCACACCCGTGTGCATTTCCTCGGGCTGCCAGTGCCCGTTAGCACACCTGGTAGGCTCGAGTTCACACCCACAGTCCTGGCTACAAGAGTCTGAGTGTGAAGTGAGCCGCCCTGCCCCTTCCCAGGGAGACCCCTTCCTGAACCTTCCAGCGCCGGGCCGCCCGCCGTCCTGGGCCTGCGGCAGCGTCCCTCCAGTTCCTTCTCCGTCTCCACGTGGCTCTCCTCCTGCCTGCACCACTGCGGCCTTCCCACGCTGGCGACTCCTCACCTGAGGCTCCCTTCCTGCAAAGATCCCCATTCCAGACATGCCACACCCCTGGTCCCTAGGAATGGGCATGAGTGCCCAAGGGCGGCCGGGCCCTGTGGTGGCCTCCACCCCAGAGGTGGCCCCTTCGTGACAGGCCCTGTGGGCTTGTTGGCACTGCAGGTGGCTGTGGGTCAAAGGGAAGCCACACTCCCCTCTGTCCACCAGTTGTGCCAGATTGTCCCCAGAGGGCCCGTGCCTCCACCGGCAGCTCTGTCCCCCTCCTCCCCCCCGCCAGACCGCTGTTGTCAACCTGCTGTTCTGTGAGCAGGACCCTTGCTGCACACCAGCAGTTCTGCTCAGCCGGGTTCCTGTGTGGCCAGACGCCTGTCCGGTGCCTGCCCCGCCCCAGGTCACCCCCATTCCCCAATTTGCTGGCTCCTCCTCAGAATCAGCTGCAGTGTCAGCACTCCACAGAGCCTCTCCACAGCCAGAACCACAGGCCCCGTCCTCCCAGCTCGGACAGGGTCCGTGGGGCAGGCGAGCAGGAGAGGAGGGCTGGGTGGACGTGGGGCAGGCGAGCAGGAGAGGAGGGCTGGGTGGACGTGGGGCAGGCGAGCAGGAG